TATATATATATATATGCACACATACATACATACATACATACTTGGAGATAATTCCCTTATCAGATAAATGGTTTGCAGTCTGTAGTTCAACTTTTCACTCTGCTGTTTCCTCTGCTGTACCAGCTTATTCAGTTTGATGTAGTCTCACTTTCTGTTTTTGTTTTTTGTGTTTTTGGGATCATATTCACAGTTTTACTAAATTCATCTCCTTTGTTTTTTTGGGTTTTTTTTTTTTGGTACTGGGGATTGAACTCAGATCTTTGCACTTGCAAGGCAAGCCACCAACCAGTGAGCTAAATCCCTGGCCCTTCATCTCCTCTTATTGAAGAAGAAAATCTTACTGGAAAAATTAAAAAAGTTAAAGGATTATATATATATATGTATATAAAATTTGGAAATAGGAGACAAAGGTGAAGGTGTTAAAGAGATTTTACTGGGTGCAGGATGTGTGCCCCAAAACATGGTTAATTCAAGTATTCATTCTTACAATGTACTTTACTTTTCTAATATCTAATTGCAGTCTGTCCCAAAAGATGGAACATTAAATATGTAGTCCATCTTGCTATAAAAGGAGTGATTGTCTTATTTAATGTCCCCAAACATCCTGTATTAGAAGTTCTTTTATTTACAAGTGGTGATTTTGAAAAGATATATTAGTCATAGAAATTCTGATTCAGCCTTTAGCCTGGATTTCTAAATTATATGGGAGAAATATTAAAGAGATGCCTGTATGATAAGAGAGAGACAAAAATCAAGAGTGGATGGTGGGTGTCAGTGAGATGTTTCTTATGAACATGCAGCAGAAGATGGAGAAGTATTTCCCTTTGTGCTTCATTATTCTCTTCCCAGATGCCATGTTTCCAGAAAGTAGTCAAAAGCAAAGAAGTTTGGAGTGATACTCAAAGCCAGCTCCATGCTCCCCTTACCTCTTCCTCCTTTTTACTCCTTCCTCCTTATTAGTTTAGGATGTTCTTGTTACATAATATTTTAATATATGCTGTATTACACAGATTTACATATGTGCCAACAATGGAAAATCCTTTTATATCAACTTATCGGCACCATCATTCCTAAATCAAAAAAGCTTAAAGTCACATAGTAATTTAAATACAGTGAAACTTGTATTCCTTTCACTCTTTTCTCTTTTTTTTCCCAGTAAGATTTTTCCTCTTTAAAAAGGAGAGAATTTTGGGAGTTGAGTTTAGTAAAATTGTCCCAGAGGAAGTAGACATTCATGTGGTCTGCTAATCTAGCTGAACAAACCCTTATGAATAACATCACAATGAGCTTGAATGTGGGTGGAGATCGGTTTTCTAGCCTTCAACTTTCTGATTCTCACTGATCTATTTATTTAGAACCTGCTAAAGAAGCATGAAACTTTGGCTAGTGACTTCGCTGTTCATAAGACCCGAGTGCAAAATGTGTGTGCACAAGGAGAAGACATCCTGAATGAGGTGAGCTCAACCAGGGGCTCCAAGTCCAACTTCCATTTCAGAAAGTAATGGCTGAAACACAAAAAAGAACATGGCTAAAATCATGGATAGTGTTTTGAGTAGTGCTAAAACCATACGTAAAACTTCACCAATCTCTTCTAAGCTGTGTCTTATTGTTGCTGCTGCAAGCAATTCATTATTTACCAATTGCTATTTTATGGAAAGGATTTTTTAAAGATGAATACATATCTTTTCAGTTTCCTTAAATCCTTTGTTCATATCCTTGCTGCCCTATATGGATCTTCTTACTGGCTGCAACAAAACAAAACAAAGCAAAACAAAAAAACGTATTATAAGAATGTGAAGAAATTTCTTTCTATGTCTCCAAGAAAGAGGACAAAAAAAGCAACCTTTGCCAGGCATGGTGGTGCACGCCTGTAATCCCAGCACTTGGGACGCTGAGGCAGGAGGATCGTTGTGAGTTCGAGACCAGCCTGGGCTACATAGTGAGTTCCAGGTCAGTCTCAACTACATAGTGACACCTTGTCTCAACCCCTCCATGCAACCTTCTTGTAATTTAAGAATCATTGTTTTGTTTCAATGTTATTCTTACAAAGCCTCACTGATCTGAGTGCTATATGAAGACCCTAAGCAGAAATACACCACGAATGTGAGACACACCAACTAAGAGCACATTTATGTGGCCAAATATGATAATTTCCTTTAAATGTTGGAGTAGAAATAGCACTTTTAGAGATGAATGAATAAATGTCTCTAGTGCTAGAGACAGTATTTAAGAAATTAGGATCAAAGAGATGAAAGCTTCTTAATAGTACTCGGGAAATTAACATTTCTAGCTCTGAACGTGCGTCAGTATATTTACTTGTCTCCTTTTCCCCTCAACCTTATTGTTGCAGGAGGAAAGTAAGAACAAGGAGAAGATTTCTGCTAAGATTGAAGCTCTGAAGGAAAGGACTTCTTCCCTTGACAAGGCACTGGCCTCCTGGAAGTTGCAGTTGGAAGATGATCTTGCCTTTCAGCAGTTCACCTGGAAGGCTGATGTGGCAGGGTCCTGGATAGGTATGATATGTCAGGTGCAGGGTCCACTGGGATTAAGAAATACTAATTATAAATTGCATTTACAAAATGTTCTCCGAGGCTTTTTTCTCTTACCATGGGAAAAGATATTTTCTTTTTATTAATCGATCATGCACACACAGGCACGCACACACTCACACACACACACACACACACACACACACACACACACACACAAACAAAAGCAAATACCCAATGGAGGAACTAAGTGTCCCTAATTCCACAGAACACATTTTCAGAGAGGGGAGAACTGATGATTTAACATACAATATTTGGAAAGGTAAGGCCATCACAAAACATTCTAGGAATTAAACTACAGTGTGTGTGATTTAATCACAATTTATGTCTGATTTGCAATGTTCTTTTTTTTTATGGAACACAGAATTCACCGTAGCCATAGTTCTGTTTCAGTCAGTTCTGTCCTACACAAGAACAATCCGTTATTCCTCAACACCCCCATCCATGTTCCACTGAGTTGCCTAGAATATGTATTCTCCAGTCTAAGAGAAACAGGAAACCACTTCACAATTGGAGATTTCTTTGTCGACTATTGCAAATAATCACTTACCGTGGCTCATATAAAACCAACTATCTTTTTTTCATTAATCTTCTTTGTTCTTTAGGTGAGAAAGAAGCAAGCTTGAAAACCAAAGCCAATGGTGCAGACCTCACTGCCTTTCTCACACTGTTGGCAAAACAGGTAAGAGCTAGCTTTCCTGGGGTCAGGCGCCTGGAAGGCCAGGAACATAGGACAGGGACATTCAATCCTCTGGGATTGTTTCACTTGGAATTTTGTGATTTAATTGTCAGTATTGTCTGTTGTTTTTCCCTTTTTCCTTTTCTTTTTGTTTTTTGGGTACCGGGGAGTGAACTCGGGTCCTTGCGCTTGCAAGGCAGGCCACCGAACCGCTGAGCTACATCCCTGGACCCCTTTTTCCTTTTCAATATTTATAACTTGCTCTCTCTCTCTCCTTTCCTCACAGTAGTATTGATGGTAACTGTTGATTATTTTCTTGGAGAACCAACTCTTTTTTCTTTTCTGTCTTTTAAAGTACTATATATACTTGAAGTACACAGTGGGTACATCCGTCATAGAGAACTGGTGCATATACAGATTGCATCGTGATCGTTTTTACTTTCCCTTCCCCTATTTCTCCTCATCCCCAGATTCCTTTCTGATCTCCAAAAAGCAATGCTGGGCATTCTGTTTCGTTTTGATTTTTCTGTTTATTGGTGCATTCTATGAATGTCTTTATTAGTCTATTTTTTATAATTAAATGCCTGACAAAAGCTAACTTTATAAAGAAAAGTGGCTTATGTAGCTCACAGTTTGATAATGAAAGTCTGAGAAGCCTACTGAGGAGCTGTTGAATGGTGGCCGGAACAAGGATGAAAAGAAGAGAGCACGGGGGCGGGGGGGGGGCCACAGTCCCTTCTGAGGGCAGCCTACAGTCAACCTAAAGCCTCCCCCTAGGCCCTGCCTCCTAGAGTTGCCACACCCATCATCACTACACTGAGGTTCAGGCTTCCAATGCATGAGCCTTTGGCGAACACATTTAACTCATATCCAGAATGGAGCAATATTTTTAGATCTTTATCATTTTCTTTTACATTTTTTAGATTAACTTGGTGCTCTTGCTTTTGTCCTTAATTTTTAAAAGATGCACAATTATGTTATTGCAATGTAGTCTTTCGATCTTATATGCATAAGCATATGAATTTTAATTATTTTCTCTCCAAACAAAGATTTAGCTGCTTTACATAAATTTTACGTCATTTTTCAATCAAAATTGTTTCTGACAATTCTACTTTAATTTCTTCTGGTCTCTTAATTATTTGGCAGTGTACTCTTCAATTTTGAAAGGTTTCAGAATTTTCTCTTTTGACAGTTACATTTAGTTTAATTCCTTTGTGATTTGAAAATATGCTCCATTATTTGAGAAAAATCTACACTTGTAAATATTCAGGATACAACTTAAAAGAATATGTATTTTACAGCAGTTTATATTAATCAAATTTTGGTTGTTAATTAATTTTGGTTGTTTTAAAAATACATTGTTAATTTTGTATACTTTGGTCTAGACTAAAAGTTGTTTTCACGTGTTGAATTGTAGAGTCATCGATAAACAGATATTTTAATTTATGGAATATTCCTCTTTTTTTCTAATAACATTTCATCATTTAAGTCTTCTTTTTTTAGATATTAATATGCTACACCAACTGTTTGAAATAAGATCTGCCATGTATATCTATTCCATTCTTTAGGATTTATTTTTGCATTTTTTGTATTTAGATTAATGTGTCTACTGTAAATATTGCATATTGTATAAAATTGACTATTTACATTTCTGTTTTAATAATTTTTATTGAAAAAACATGAATCCATTTCCATTTAAAGAATTTACCTTATGAATTTTGGTTTAAAGCTATGATTTAACACCCCTCCCCTCTTTCCTCTCTTACTTTTTTTTTTTCTCTCCCTTACTTTTTGTTCAGGGATTGCAATGACTCTGGACAATTTCAGGATTGTTTTGTTTTGTTTGTGGACGATGTGCATTGTTTGTTCTTACTCCCAGGGCATTTCTGATGTTTCTCCTGTAGTCCTGGAACCAGAGCTGCTTCGACTTGATGGATCTTGAAGTCATCACTGTCATAACACCAAAAAACTGTTCAGTGTTTTAGAGTCTCGGGTTCTGTTTCTACTTGGCTTCTAGAACTTGTGTCCTATGCAGTTTAGGAATCTAAAATTCCTCAAGAGGAAAAGAGAGCACAATATTGAACACACTTCTTAGCCTTTCCCTTTTGATGGCTCTTGTACTCTGACTTCTCCAACACTCCAGTATGCTAGCTTTTGTTCCTGAGGCTCCGTGGGATTGTCAAACTCTCTGATAGACACTTTCTTCTCAGCCACTTATGCTGTGCAGTTCATACATCAAAGGGAACAGTGGAGAGAATTGTGCTCTCCCCTCAGTCCTACTCTCTTCGATCTGAAATTTTGGGCTCTCGAGTTGTGGCTCCCTGAGTTGCATTCTGATTCCTTTCAAACAGTTGTTTTGCTTTCTATTTGAACTTTCATGCAGCTGTCAAAGTTGTGCTCAAAGGGAGAATTCACTCAATGCACACCACTCTGTTAAAGTTGGAAGTGTGACTTCCAATTTTGATATCAATTTTATATACAGACTTTATCTGTATTACTTTCACCAATAGGAGCTCTTGTTAGTGTACTGATAATAGTGCATTGGTACTAGTTAAAGAATCATAAAAGAGTCTTGCAAAGTTTTGTACTATAGGAAGGACATTTTTGATTGAGAAAATTTGAAATATACCATGTTCTAATATTCCCTTAATATTGATTCTACATCTAACCTAAGTTCTAATTTTAAAATATGCATGCAGTAAGTAGAAAGTAAGCATAATTTCAACTCTAAGTGTTCAAATATCTCTTAGTTACATTTTGTTTTTCTTAGCCATCATCCAAATTCTTACCTACCCTTCGTCTTGTCCATAATAGAAAGCAGGTAGAACCCTGGTTAAGAAGGGACCTTTGAGGCCTTTCCTGTGTTTCTATTCACAGCCTCTGTATGGTTTTTTCTCAGGATGCACTGGACACCAGTCTTCAAGCCTTCCGGAAAGAACAGCTTTCTGAGATCACTGACCTCAAAGATCAGCTGGTGGCTGCTCAGCACAGCCAGGCCAACACCACAGAGGAGCGCCATGCTGCCCTGCTGACGCACTGGGAGCAGTTGCTGGCAGCCGCTGCAGCCCACAGACAGAAGCTGCTGGAGAAGCAGCTGCCCCTACAGCAGGTATAAAGAAGGAGATAAAACTTATGAGGCTTCTATTATCCAGTTATAAGCCAAAGACTTCAGAAATAAATAGACACTGGACAAACACTTGTTTGGACAATCCACAGACAATCTGTGGCCTTGAAAAGATTCAAGAAGACATTCTTGTTGAGTAAAAAGGAGTTCATGATTTTTAGATTCATAAGATTTTTTTTGGTTTGATTTTTGTACTACTGATAACTAAAAACAGGACTTTACACATGTTAAGCAAGCACTCTACCATTAAGTTTCACTGCTAGCCTTTTTTGTTTTTGGTTTTGTTTTTTATTTTGAGACAAGGTCTCACTAAGGTGCCCAGGCTGGCCTTGAACTTTCAATCCCTCTGCTTCATATACCATTCCCAAGTAACTGGGATTTCAGGGTTGCAACAGTACATCTGGCTCAGGAGGATGAGAAGTTTGTTTTGAATCACGGTTACAGTCTCTGGCTGGCTCCCAGGTAGAGAGGTGGAAGGGCCTGGCAGAGGAAAGCTACTTGTGTCATGGTGAGCAGGAAGCAGAGAGAGAAGGAAGTGGCTGGGAGGGAATTGCACCCTTGTAGGTCAAGCCCTAGAGACTCACTTTCAAAAGAGCCCACCTCCAAAGAGCACGCTGAGCTCCGAATGTATCCATGGATTAATCCACCAATCAGTACATCACCTTCTCACCCAATCACCTTCTAAAAGCACCACCTCTGAACCTATGAATCTTTTGGGAGACATTTCAGATGCATACCGTAATAACACCTATTTCTGCATGTTTATTATAAGCGAGGCAGAACTGGAGCACAGAATTTAGAATAAGAACTCTCATAATTAAAAACCACCCCTTAGAATCTTAGAAATGAAACAAATTTAGAAGTCAGTCCTCTTTTCTTTCATAAATGATGGAAGATTTGACTAATTTCACAGTGAGAAAATGCTAAGACTGGAGCTGTTCCTCTAACTTTAAAGTCCAGCCAAAGGATCCCATGGTCTGCACTGGTTTTAGCTCTGTCATTTTAGAGTGCTAGCCCTGCAAATATTTCTCAATAGTCATGATTTTTCCTCTCAAGCTTTGCTTCTGCTGAGAGGCTGTACAAGGACATATAGCAGTGTCTTCTTTTCTCTCTCTGAAGGCCGAGGAGCTGTTCATGGAGTTTGCACACAAGGCCTCAGCTTTCAACAACTGGTGTGAGAACGCCGAGGAAGACCTGTCAGAGCCTGTGCACTGTGTCTCCCTGAATGAGATTCGGCAGCTGCAGAAGGACCATGAGGCCTTTGTGGCATCCCTGGTTGGGCCTCAAGAACACTTCAGATATTTGATAGAGCTTGACCAGAAGATTAAGGCCTTACATGTGCCTTCCAGCCCTTACACCTGGCTAACGGTGGAGGTGCTGGAAAGGATCTGGAAACACTTGTCTGAGGTCATCAAGGTAATTTGTTTGGGCACAACAGAGACTGTGGTCTATGGTGAGCCTGACTGCTTGATTCATTGTCCAAGTTGGAAAACTTTGGAGAAAGAAAGGAAGACTTAAATAATTATACTGAGACAGCAGTCATCAAATGAGACTGTCTAGGAAAAATTGAGAACTGTATATACCTGGGTCACAATATGTATATCTCATTCCCCGCAATGTACATAAGGCCATATTTCTCTGATTCAAGGAAATAAATAAAAGCTCAATAGGTGGTTGCAGTAGTGATTTAAAAATCACAGGACGCTATGTATCTCCCCATCCTAGATATTCCTTGTTTTATATGCACCTCCCAAGGTGCCTTTTATGAGTTTATTCTTAATTTTTATATATTTGTGATATTCAATATGCAAATTATGAAAAGTTTTCCCAAAAAGTTAGCAAAATAATCTCGCTCTATCACCATTTTTTACAAGTATTATTACTTATTACTTTCCCCCTTAGGTCAGCTTTAGGTTAAATGTACCTCTCCCCCAGTCAGAGCAAAGAGACTGAGAGAAGGGATGTTTGCTTTTACTACTAGTTTACTTCTTCCTGGACTTGATCCTAGATACTCCTCTAAGTACGGGGAGTGACATGGATTATGTTCATGTCTTTGAGGTCAGAAGACGCGGGTTAGAAGACACGAGCCCTTAGGCACATGCATATGGAAGGAACGTTAGATCTAGGAGAGAGATATGCAGTTGATACTGCAAATTGGTTTTTCAGCAGCAGAGAAGAGCTTTTCTGTGAGCCCTACTGTCTGTGATTTGGGGTTTTAGGAAAGGGAGCAGGAGCTGCACAAAGAAGAGGAAAGACAGATGAAGAACTTTGAGATGTGCCAAGAGTTTGAACAGAATGCCAGTGCCTTCCTTCAGTGGATTCAGGAAACCAGGTTTGCTGTGCCACCTCTAAACCCACGATACTTATGTCACACACACTATTACCAGAGGGATGACAGATACATTTGATGGGGAGTGGGCAGACTTTCGTGGCCTGTTATCTGTCTCCAGATCACCACGTCCTGACTGCTTTATATTTGGACCTCACTGCTCTCTGAATCAATTTTTCCAAAGTCAGGAAATGGGAATTTCATCCTGCTGCCCCCTTTGCAACTTTCTTTATTCTCTTCTTTACACTTTCAGTTTTCCTTGTGCTGCCTATTGTTACCATTCACAACAATAATGATCTTTATGTTTAATGGTACATTACACTTTAAAAGCACCTGTATATCCATTTTGTTAGTTTCAAGTCACCTTGATAAGTGCACAGAGCTGATCTTATTTCCTCTGCTTCCAAATGTAGAAAAAAGTATAGATAAATTGACTTGCTCAAGGTCACATACATATTTATCGGAAGTGCCAAAAAACAGAATATACTATGAACAACTAATATGAATTTACTATACTGCCTGCCTGGTAAAGCTGTAATGAAAATCAAATGAGATAATATAGGCTAACTGTTTTTATTAAATAGAAAATCTTCTGTACATGAAGATGACATTTGTCACATCTTCTGGATAAATGACCTAGAAGAGAGGATACAGAGAGGAACATAGTAAAATGTTAGAGCAAATGCTCAAGGTTATCAGACTGTATCCATTCGGTGGGTCAGAATCTTGGTGGTTTGAAGGTTAAAGTGCTGGCTGGATAATCCATGATATCCACTCTTCCTACACACCTGCTGGGGAAGATAAACAAGACAATGAATAAATAGAAATCTTGCATCCTGTCTAAAAGAAAACCCCACAGAAGTTAGAAGAAATCATAAACCTTCCCTTGCCTCTGGTTCTGGACCATTTATCATACCCTGGCAGTGAGCCCTCAGTGAAGACCTCCTTGACATCTGTGCTCTTTTCCCTGAAGCAAGGTACTTGATGAAAGGCTCTGAGCTTCTCAGAGTAGGATAGACTTTGAGATTTGTGGGCATATTTTGTGGCTACAGGGGACTTACAAGCTGATGAAACAAGGTCAGTTGAAATAATCCATGCTAACACTGCTTTTCCTTTTCTCTCTTCTGATTCCTGTTCCGGTCTTCCATGTCCAGGTCTTATTTTCTGGATGGGTCAGTATTTTATGTTATCATTTCTGTTTTCTTATGTTATTGTGGAAGTGTTAATTAAAGAGGGCTTGTTACTGAGGCACCTTGTACCGTCCTGATTTGATAGTGCCTAAAGAAGCAGAAGCCTGTGATACTTCTCTCTGCCCCTTAACTCCAGGGGCCTTGCCTATGTCACTTAAGTATGAAGAGTCTGCCTGGTGTATCCACTGGATCTATGTCTTTGAATTCAAATAAACATAGATTGAAAATATTCAGGAAAAAATGTGTCTGCACTGAAAATGTACAGCTTTTTCTTATCCTTATTTTTTTAAACAATAGAGTATTAAATAATACTTTATTTCTTAAACAATACAATATTTCTTAAGCAATTCAGTATAACAACTATTTGTCACTTACCTTGTATTTGGCTTTAGGTCAGCAGTCTAGAGCTGAGTTAAGTATATGGGGCATGTGTGTAGGTTTTATGCAAATTCTGTATTATTTTATATAAGAGACTTAAGCATCCTTTCTTTTGATATCTGAAGGGTTACTGGAGCGATTCACACATGGACACCAAGTATGGCTGTTACTGATAATAGAATTAGAAGAGATACGGAAGAGCCCTCTTTTAGGCCAAGAAGAAATAGAGTAGTTTTTACTTCCCTTCTCCCGAATCTGGAAAGATGCTAAAGATAGGAGGGTTTAATTTTAAAAATCGGTCTTTCTGAAATATCATTTCATAAAAATCATATATATAACACATCCTAATTTCTTTTTTTACATTCCTTATCCTTCCTTCCATCCTGCACCCCTTCATCCCCTTCCCCCTTTGAGAACTCCACACAAGGAATGGAAACATTATATACAGCAAACATGAAAAAAAAAAAAAAAAGAGGGTGAAGGATAGGTGAAAGAGGAAAGGGAAGAAAAGGGGAAGAAAAAGGAGCTAAGATGTGTTATATCCATGCACCAACTTCCCACAAGGAGCGTAAAAATGATGTATTACACACATGCTAAAAAATTAAAATAATAAGTAAAGACCATATAATTTGTAAGAAGTAGAAACAGAAATGTAGGAGTTTTGAGTTGGTATATAGGTATGAACCATTGACCTCTGATAATATAAATAATGTTTCATTTTGGTTCTTAATTAGATCTTTGCTCAAAGAAACAGGAACCTTGGAATCCCAACTGGAGGCAAACAAAGTAAGTAGTGTTTGCTCCTTAGCTGAAGATGCTGTGTAAGAGAAACTATGTAAAAGCAACTTGGTAATGTGTTTAGGTACATATCACCTAAAGTTACAAAGCCAAAATTTGGTGCTAACTCTGCATTCCACTTGCATTCTAACCACAGACTATAGATATGGACTCTTAGTTTACTTGAAATTTCTGAACTTTTATTTCTGCATAAAATCAAGTTGAAACTTACATTAAGGAGTTGCTGTAATGATTAATTAAGAGATCAGATACAAAAGTTCCTACCCTACAATGAGGAACATTGACAAATTTGCTTTTTTATCTGATGCGATAAAATAATTGAATCTAGATACTTTCCCAACAATTAGTGCAGCAGTGTGCTAGTGTAGTGTTTCTCAGTGTTGTTTTTAATGTTAGCTCCTTTCAGAAGAAGAAAATAATTAAATTTAATTTCTACCTTATGAAGGTAGAGTAAGGTTCCAGGTATACTAGATCTTTGGAGGGCCACAAGCTTTATAACATTTAATTTTTGCACACACACACACCTCACTGTCATCAGACCCAATCTGTCCCTCTTGTCCCTTGGGAATAATGTTTCCTCATTGAGAACTCATGAACAGGATGCAGAAATTTTGCACATAGTGTGCTTGATTGGCAGGAGCAGACCATACATATCTGTCTGAGCTGATGAAGGAGGCCTAAGAGTCAATGCTGGGGCTCCTGGATGGACCTTGGAACTCAGCCACAATTGATGATGCAGATAATTCACAATGCAGACCACAGGAAGCTAATGATACATGAGTCCTAGGAAGTGTACTCTTCTTCCTCTATATTATATAGCCATTAACTCTTAAATTTACATCTTGAAGAGTAAAAGAATTACAGGCATCATCTCAGCTGAACCTCTGTTTTATGTGAGGAAAATAGAAATGAAATGGTTCACTTGAGTTTTTCACTTTTTATAGATGATAAGAAGATCCCTGAAAATAATTGAAAAGAAAACTCTAACTCATCAGGCTCTTCCCCTCTGTCCCATCTCTAGGTTTGGAGCTGGAATCCTGAATGGCTGACTCTCTTCTCTGTCTTTTTCCAGAGGAAACAAAAGGAGATCCAAGCAATGAAACGTCAGCTAACCAAGATTGAGGACCTGGGGGACAGCATGGAGGAGGCTATGATCCTTGACATAAAGTACAGCACCATTGGACTGGCCCAGCAGTGGGACCAGCTCCATCAGCTGGGCATGCGAATGCAGCACAGTCTCGAGCAGCAGATCCAAGCCAAGTATGGAGGGTCCACAGCCAGGGTGGGAAGGGTAGCAGGAGCATAATGAGGGGCTAGGGTATGGAGAACTAGGTTAAAGCTCTGCCTCAGAGATTGCACACTTACCTCCAAAGCCAACACTACCTCTCTTTACTGCCCCTGTGTACTGGCGTCTATCATGAGATAAGAGGTGTGTTCCTCTCTTTCTATTCATCATCCATCTAAACAAAAAAACATGGTTCCTCCATCCAGTTTTCAGAGTCCCTTTACCATATCATATGGTCTTTTCAGAAAGCATCCCTTTTGTAAAATCCCATTAAGAATATAATCCCTTGAACTAAAAAAATATTCAAAATATGGCCTAATACAGAAAAAGAGCAGAAACTAATTTTTCTAGATCAACTAATTATATCAAAGACTTAGGTCGCAATAGACCTAAGGGTCAGTGTTTTTATCTAGATCAGGAACTGGCAAACTTGTTTCTATAAAGAATCTTATTTAAAATAATTTAGTTTTCATGAGTCATGTGACTCGTGTTGACTTTTCATTTCTGCCAACACAGTGGAAAGACAGCCATATATTAGCTGGATAAGCAAGGTTGCAATGAAACTTAATTCATGGATGCTAAAATTTGAATCTAATGTCATTTTATATTTGATCAAATAATCTTCTTCTGAATTATTTTTAACCATATTAAACACATGAAAGCCCTTCTTGGCTCATGGACTATGTAGTAACAGGTGGCAAGTTGGTTTTGAGCCATGGGGAATAGATTACGGAACTCTGAACAAGATGATCAAGTAACACATCAGCTATCAACATTTCTGTCTCCTTCCTGTGGCACATCTTTCACTATTCTTGTTTTACCTCATGATTAATTCGTGTTTTTCCTTTCAGGGATACCATAGGTGTGAGTGAGGACACGTTGAAGGAGTTTAGCACCACCTATAAGTGAGTATAGCTTCGTAGTTAACTGGTTCTAGATATGTTAGTTAACTTTAGTTCTAATATAGTAATAAAATACAATTATAATATAATATAATATTCCTATGAGATTCTTAAAGTTTAAAAATATATTTCTTTCACACTTACTGCTTTATGTGTTTCCCCTTTATCCCTTATGTAAAGGAAAAGAAATACAGAGATACAGACAACACCACTCAGCTCTCTGACAGTGTTATTATATGTGATTAAAGCTCTAGCTGATGCAACAAGACCTATTCCTTTCTGTTCTACTCTGATTCTTTCTTGAGCTTGATAACATGTCTTGTTCTCTAGGCACTTTGATGAGAATTTGACAGGGCGTTTAACTCACAAAGAATTCCGGTCCTGCCTGAGAGGACTCAATTACTACTTGCCCATGGTAGAGGAAGATGAACCTGAGCCCAAGTTTCAGAAGTTCTTGGATGCTGTGGATCCAGGGAGGTAAGAAGACCAAAGGCCAGGTTGAGGGAGAAGTTCAAAGAGTAAAGTGATCCATGAAAGATGAAACTCACTGATTTGAAAAATAGGGCAATACAGACAATCATAAAAGAATGGGCAGCTCTTGGTATCTTTTTAGGATTATCTCAGAAGTAAATGGCACCAATTCTCTCAGGACCTAGCTGTGCGAGTTACTCAATTCATAATTTATCTTTGATCAATGAATATTAGCTAGTCCTGAAGTTAAGAATTGAGAGAAGAATCATTTTAAGGAGACATGGATAACCAAAATGCCAGTATGTTGTGGGTAGAGTCGTTTGTTGTTTGGGGGGCAGTGACACCTATAGATAGATCAGGTTGGTCTTCAGGAAATAATTCTTTCTAATCCCAAAGATGCAAGAACACCAGAAATTACCTAGTTATCTGGGGACTCATGCTGATAGGAAATTCCAAAACCCTTTGAAGGGAACCAATCTAGAAGCTAAGTCTGAAGTTTGGGAAACAGTGTTTATTTGCCTGTAAGAGAGAGAAAAAAGAAGTCAGAATGCAAAGTGTAACTCAAAGGTCTCAGAGAGCTTATCTGAAAGAGAGCACAGAGAATCCATCTTCCCTCGGCCTGTAAGACACTGCATAGAATGGGGAAGGGCCTTCTTCCTGTCTTGAGGAAGCACAGCTCCTGATCTTTCTCCCACAGAAAGGGTTATGTCTCACTGGAGGACTACACGTCATTCCTGATTGACAAGGAGTCGGAAAATATCAAGACCAGCGATGACATAGAGAGTGCTTTCCAGGCCCTGGCAGAGGGAAAATCTTACATTACGAAAGACGACCTCAAGCAGGTCAGATTCCCCTTTCTGTGCTCTCAAATTCTCAATTTGGGTCATCTTGTTCTTGGTTGTTTACTCAGAAAACTCTCACCAACTGACTTACTTTTTTGCTTCCCTAGACCTTCTCTTTCCCAGGATGTCACTTGTTTTGAATATTCATTTTGTCTTAATTCATCTCCGAAACCCATAGTGACTCTTTATTGATTTTCAAAGTCAATACGAAACACGTGACTTAGTTTTTAGGCTGTCTTTATCCCTTGTACTTAATAAATAAATGAAATTTAGAGAATGAGCAAGACGGAATAGTCAAAGTGAATTAAATCTTTTCTTCAAGAAGAGGCAAGCTAAAAGTTTGAATTGGTCTTATTGATTAGAAACCATACATTTTAGAGGAAAGGGTGTCCTAGGAATAGTGCTTGCCTATCCTTCCAAAGGCTCTCCACCTTCTGAATTTAGGTCCTAGGAGAAGTCCTAGAAACCTTTCAGTCTCTAGAAGGATTTTTCCATCTCTATAACTGTGTCTTTCTCTTTTTATGCTTTTCAGGCCCTCACCCCAGAACAAGTGTCATTCTGTACCATACATATGCAGCAATATGTGGACCCACGAGGTCGAAGCCAACCTGCTGGCTATGATTATGTTGGCTTCACCAATTCCTACTTTGGTAATTGATAAACAGATCCTCCTGGATCATAGACAACTGACCTCCTGGGAAGTATTTGGGGGATAAAAGAGACAGGCAAGTGTGTGGTTGTAAAGACTGTTGTGTGTCCGTGTGTGTGTGTGGGTATTACAGTTGTTTCAAGATTAAAAAAAAATCAAATGTGGAGGGTATAGGAGTTAATCAAATTGTAGGAAATGAGGCCATAGGCTTATTTTGTATGTAACTAGTCACTGTTGAGGAGTGCCAGTGTTTATACTTTTAATAATTTTGTTGTGTTCTGCTTCATCAGTTTTTATTTGTGTATGTTGTGAGTATAGAACAAAATGTTTATTTTAAAAGAACAAAATTAAATACAATATTTCTTACCCAATTGTGCTTCTGTATTTCTGTGAGCCATACTATTATCTAAATATAAACAGCTAATTGTACTGTTGAAAAGGAGTCATTGTAGAAGAAATAATAAAACACAAACTGATTTGCAATTTATTTTTCACTTTAAAATATTTGAATTCTTGTATTTCAAAATGAAGACATTTGATATCTTAGGAGTGTAATATTTTAGTTCTAATTCAATTGTACAGAGACAGGCATAGCTCCAGTTTCCTTCTTGCCTCTTTTTTTTTTTTTAAACAAGTTTTATGGCATAAAAAGAAAGGCCCAGATCTCTCTAGGAAGCCCAGGCTGGCCTGAAACTGGCAGTCTTCTGCCTCAGCATCCTCAGTACTGAGATTACGGGTGTGCACTACTTGTAACACCTGGCTCAACTTGTCGCTTTTTTATATTTAAACACTATGTTAAATGCTATTAATTTTAGAACAACAAAATTCCAACATAGTAGGGCTCCCTCACATTCTCTAAGAGCTTGAAGTTCCCCTTAAGTTTTAATGTGATAAAAAGAACATTTGCGCTTATTTACATTCATCTTGTATTGTTACAGAAGGAATTTACAAGTGACATGCAGAGGCAGCAGAATGGAAGTAAAATAGCAAAAGTTTACTCCATAGATGGGGATCGATCACACCTAATGGCAGTTCCCTGATTAACCCAATACTGGGCTACAACTCCTGTTTTTAGAGGGTTTTACGACCTTTATCTCATTCAGGTATACAATGCATTTTCATAGTTCACATTGCTGATATTCAAAACATGGTGTCGAGGTAGCTGAATTTCATCCCAGATGTAGCATTTCTTTGGTAGGAGAGGTTACTTTTAAAATTCATTTAGTTATCTATTGTATCCCAGGGGAAGGGGGCCATGTCTATTCAGCAAGGTTAACAATGGTTCTTTTCATTTACAAAACTTTTTAGGGAGACTAGATGTGTACGGTGCCTGCTGGTTCTGAACTAAACAAAGCAAGTGGCATAAGTTATTTTACATTAAAGTGTTCTCTATCAGTATTAGAATAAGAGCAAGTAAAACTGTTTTTAAATTTACAAATTAAGGGGAAAAGTCAAGAATAAATAGTTCTGCCTTTCAGACAGTTTTGATCTGAACAGATTCAAAAGCTAACATTCTGATCTGACCTATAAAAGATGATGGTATAATTTACTGGTGAGAATTCCTGTGATGTTTTGTTTTGTTTGTTTGTTTTTGCCTTGTGCAAAACAGCCCTTATCCTGCAAAAACTACCATCATCTCCCATCCATAAAATACTGCCATGTGATTGTCACCTTAAACCTGAATCCCTGGCTCCACACAGAAATTACTCCTCCTCAGTCTAGGAGGATATCCTGCCAAAGGAGCATTTTTTTTTTTTTTTTTTTTTTTTTTTTTTTTTTTTTTTTTTTTTTTTTTTTTTTTTTGGTGTTCTAGACAGGGTCTCACTAGGTAGTTGAGACTGACCTGGAAATCACTGTGTAGCCAGGCTGGGCTTGAACTCACAGCAATCCCCCTGCCTCAGCCTCCCGAGGGCTGGGATTACAGGCGTGCATCACCACGCCTGGCAAAGGAGCCATTTAATAGAGCTTCAGTTAAAACTCAAACATTATTTTTGCTACCAGTAATATATAACCATTTTACTGATTTTTTTCATAAGCAAGCAAATGCTATGACATGTAACAATCAGAAACTACTCTGAAAATCCATGTTTACCAATGCCTACATTGTGTGATTATAAATAACCAAAAACTTTACAGATGAAACTATATAGCCCAAAAGGTTTGCTTAATATCACAATTGTCAAGGATAGGGAGTTCTAATAATGTATGTGCTAGAAATAATCAAAAGGAAGGGTGGGTGTGGTTCGTTCTCCCCATTCCTCCACCACTACCAAGGATTTTCAAGGCTGAGTTAGAATATTAGCCATTTAATGGGTTTAAAAAAAAAACGTTGAGGCAAAAATGTTCTATAATGCCATTTTATATATGAGATTGAGTAATATAAAGGCTAGAAAGGCAGTACCTGAAAAGGCAGTGAAAATATCACAATGACATACAATGCCTTCTGAAGTTAGTTTCTGAACATCTACACATCAAGCAAAAACAATAGTGTTAGAAACAGCATACATAATTTAGTTAGAGACTATAAATATTCAAAGTATAATAAAACGATTAGAACTTATACAAAATGTCCTCCTTCATTTGAGTTAAATTTTTCCTAACTAAATCATATCTGTTGACCTACTTACTATCTATTCACTTTAAACTGGAATCCTCTTTTTAAATTTTTGCTAATTACCTTCTTTATTATTTAAAGATTATACTCTGCCTCAAGTCCCAGCATATACTTTCACTTTATTTTCCTTTATTTGTTTCATTGAGTTTATTGGTACATTTTTAAGGTATACAGTACAGCTACATTCATCATTGGGATCTTGTACCTTTACATGACAGAGCTTGGTTCTCATTTTTTTTTTTTTTACTTTCCTTGATTACTATTGCTTGGTTGGCTCTCCAAAATTATTTCACTTCTAACAGAATATTATTATGTTTACATCTTATAGACCTTTCTGATGCCATACATCTCATACTTGTTTCCATGTTACATAGAGCTTGACCAATTTTCCAGTGTTTAATCCTCTCAGGTCCTCTTCTGTCACCCTGTTTACCTAATTTATCATGAAATATACAATGATCCACACTCCCAGCTTTGGCTTCCACCAGCATCACCTAGGCAAAATACTGGGTACTCTAAAGTGATACAGTCTAGAAATTCTAAGTAATAGTTGTATTTTGTACTTAATGTGTAGCAGGTTTTGCCCTAAAACTTTAGATTAATGTTCATGAAAAAGAGACCTACCTCACAGAGAGTTATCATTCTATTGGTCAGTTGAGAAAGTAGAGAAACAGAATGTTTAAGACACATGCCCTAGATCATATATAGAAAAATTGATAGATCCTACACTTAAAACACTAAGGTCATTAATTAGTCATTAATTAATTCCTTTAAATGAACATTGCATAAGTGGATATGTTCACATCAGAGAGACTGCCACCCCTCCTAGAAAAATGTGTCCTTTGGAAGAACGCATCCAGCTCCTAAATTAAGACAGGAAATTGAATCATGGAAGGATATTTTGTAGACTGTTTCTGTTATCCCTACCATAGATCAGTTATGGAAAGATCTATAGAGATACATTCCAGGAGTTTTTGCTCTGAAAAATACCTCCAAGTAATTTCATATCCTTCTACACTTAAGACTATCATATTTATCGGTTCGGTGGCCTGCCTTGCAAGCACAAGGACCCGAGTTCAATCCCCAGTATTAAAAAAAAAAAAAAAAAAAAAAGAAAAAGCAAAAAAGACTACCATATTTATGCTGAGGTTCCACCTCACTCCAGAAAGAATGGCTGCTATCAAGAAATCAATCAAAAACAAATGCTGATGGGGTTGTGGGGAAAAGGGAACCCTTCCCCATTATTGGGGGGGAGTGTAGACTGTGCAACCACTGTGGAAATCAGTACACAGGTAGATTAGAGGTCCCATTTAGCCCAGTTATTCCCCTGCTGGGTTGTCTTCCCAAAAGAATTAAAAAAATCATACCTCAGCAATATATATGCACCCGTGTTTATAATGGTACAGTTTGTGATCACTGAAATTTGGAAGCATCCCAATTGCCCATTAACAGGAGACTGGATAAAGAAGATTTGGATTTTTTTTTAGATAAAATGGAATATTACTCAGCCATAAAGAATGAGAAACTAGAGACATTTATAGCAAAGTGGATGCACATTGAGGCCATGCTCTTGAGTAAAATAAATAGGACACACATGTGTAAATACCAAATATTTTCTCTGGTTTGAGAAACTGAAAGTATAAATAAGGATCAAAATGTATAATAGATAATGTGATATAGGAAGGAAAAATCCAAAGGGGAAGGGGATGTGGGAGAGGTAGGGGAAAGGAAAGAAGGGAAAGGAATAAAATGGAGACAAAGTCATTGTTAATAGGGAAGGTGGAAAGGAAGGCAGGGAAATAGAGACAAAATCAACCAAGATATATCATGTAAAGGTACAAATTCCCAATGGTGAGTGTCATCATATTTTATACCTAAAATGTACCAATAAACAATGATATAAAAAAAGACTACCGTATTTGGTAGCTAGAATTTTGGGTATTAATTAGCAATATTTGAAATATTGGGACTATTATACTGAGTGGACAGAATAGCTGGTGAAAATCAATTTGCTCAAACATCCTCAGTACACTGGGGAAAGACCCAACCTACAGTGAAAAGGACCCTCCGCTGACACAGAACCTTTCTGCTATCTGACTGACTCACCTACCTCTCTCTAGCCTATTTTCTTCTTTGAGATTTAGGTCCCTTCCTCCCAAATTTATTTTGCATCAAATTCTAACAGAAGATATATTTCTTTACTAAGAGCATAAAAAATATCAATTCCGATCTGAAAAAATATCATCCAAATCTCATTCCTCCTTGGTGTCCCAAGCCGTATCCTTCTTTTATCTCATTGATAAATGCTGTGAGTCTGGATCCTATGCTTTTAAAATGTTTTTTAATGTCCTTCAGTTTCCAGTGTTATTATCTCTACTCAGGCTCTGTCTCTTTTTAGAAGACGGCACAATAAACTTAATTTCTCTTTGTCTCTGTTTTCTTCCTGCTTAAATGCATTATCCTCCTTGCTAATTGGTTAATTTCCTCAAGTCTCTTTGGGGATCCTGCTCAACTCTCTCCTGAAATGTTGACTGTTTTGTCTCCCATGCCAAAAGGATCATGTCTAAAGTAACAGGTTCAAACTGCTGCCCACCACCCACAAAGAAACCCTC